GATTGTAGCACCCGCTTTGATTCCAGATCAAAAGCTGCTTCGAATTCTGTCGCATCTGTTGCCTCTTGGCTCGAGACGCCAAAGAAGGAGCGAGCATTTGATACCATCAATTTAATGTCGTCGGCCATTTCTCCAATGCTTTGATACTCTTCAGATTTAATTTTCCCACATATCCGGGCCGGATCCATGGGCGAGTTTATAGACTCAAAATAAGCCGGATTTGTCCTTAAAATAAATTATTTACAAGCTGCTAAGAATTGAATCAGACCATGAACAACTAAACGTCTAAATCAACATTGCGAACCTTAGTGCAATACACGACCTTACTGGATTTCCTTTATCAAAGGAAACTCTCCGAAAACTTTCCTTACATTAACTTCAGCCATGGTACTTAACTTTCTAAGCAGGAAGGGGAGTTTCTGGAGCGATAGGTCACTAACTTAGCATTCTCAAAAAATATCAGGCCTGAACAGAAGTGTTAGCTGTAGTATCCATACTATGCATTCAGACTCCATGGTTTCCATGCCTTGTAGACGAAAGAATATTTGAACGTATACCACTACATCCACTATACTATTCCATTGGTTAACGGCAAAGATAGCCCAGCTATACAACTAACCTAAGGGTGTTAACGAATAGACATTTCAAGAAGATAACACAAAGTAATACCTTTTGTTTGGAAGACGAAGAGCATCGACCAGCAGAGTTCCGTCCTCCTTCTTTATCACTTTCAGCTTATCATAAACGTGATGACAAATATTCTAAATTCAGATATTAAAAATGTGAAGTGGTAGACTTGCCTGTATGCTTGAGGCGAGGCGCCTGCGTTTACGAAATCTCTCTGGGGACGACAGAGTGTCATCTGAGCCAGCATTCGCTGAGTCAGCATTAGAGGCTTCCTTTTTCGGCATCTACATTATAAGACAGCCTTCAGACGAGGTCGATTATATTAATTAAGTCTAAAACTGTGTGTTGTCGAATAACTTTTATTGAACGTCTGTACAATGGAGAGCAAAATACTTCGCAGCGTAGTTTAAAGCTGGTGGTTTACGTGAAATACCTGATTTTGGACCGGGCATATTGTTTGAAAAATATGCGTAGGCCAAGGATTGTGTTGAATGTATAAAAAAGAACTCAACCACAGCTGATCTTTCCATGCCATTCGTTTCTGGCCTCCATACAATTCCCGCTGCCCCGCCAAATTTCTCAGTGTTTTCGTTAAATAAAAAACGCGAATTCAAAAAAATTCGATCAAAAGAGGATGAT